AACTCCACCCGCCGCTACCGCCCGGGCACCATTGCGCTGCGCGAGATTCGCCGCTACCAGAACTCGACGCACCTGCTCGTGCCCAAGCTGCCTTTCCAGCGACTGGTGCGCGAGATCACCCTCGGCTACAAGACGGACATGCGCTACCAGGTGATGATTGCTCATTGAAAGTACCGATTTGTTTAGAATACATTTCACTTATTCCACCCATTCTTCTTCTTCTTCTTCCTATTTCAGGTGGTCGCTCTGGAGGCGCTGCACGAGGCCGCCGAGGCCTTCCTCATCAACCTCTTTGAGGATGCAAACTTGTGCGCAATCCACGCTCGTCGGGTCACCATCATGCCCCGGGATATTACCCTTGCTCGGCGAATTCGAGGAGAGCCCGGCGTTTCTTACAATAACAACTGTCGCTCTGGAAATTGAGCCAGCCTCAACTTTTAATTAATCACCGACTACTCACTATTTTGACTATTTTTGCCCAGTGAATATTTACTTTTTTTCGAAAAGTTTACGTTCATATTTTATATTATAATATAATCCTCACATCTTTTATCCCAATTATTAATCAAATAAAAAAATCATTTGTGCTTTGGCACTAAAAAACATAATTTAACAGCAATTATAATCTTATATTTGCAAATGATTTTGTAGACATTTTATCATAATCATATTCAACATNCTTATTCCACCCATTCTTCTTCTTCTTCTTCCTATTTCAGGTGGTCGCTCTGGAGGCGCTGCACGAGGCCGCCGAGGCCTTCCTCATCAACCTCTTTGAGGATGCAAACTTGTGCGCAATCCACGCTCGTCGGGTCACCATCATGCCCCGGGATATTACCCTTGCTCGGCGAATTCGAGGAGAGCCCGGCGTTTCTTACAATAACAACTGTCGCTCTGGAAATTGAGCCAGCCTCAACTTTTAATTAATCACCGACTACTCACTATTTTGACTATTTTTGCCCAGTGAATATTTACTTTTTTTCGAAAAGTTTACGTTCATATTTTATATTATAATATAATCCTCACATCTTTTATCCCAATTATTAATCAAATAAAAAAATCATTTGTGCTTTGGCACTAAAAAACATAATTTAACAGCAATTATAATCTTATATTTGCAAATGATTTTGTAGACATTTTATCATAATCATATTCAACATAAACAATATGTTCAGCTCATTTATCCACATTTCCAATTTATACAATCAATGTTTTACTCACAGTAAACATCTTATAACAATTAATCATAACCCATAACACCACAAACACAATAAATCTTAAAAAGTTATTTTTTAAATGGTCTGTTTAAATCCAGTCAGTTTAGAGAGCCCGCCTGGTTGGTTACTTTTCTCATTTATATTTTGGGCTTTTTATTAGTTCAACCCATGATCAGAAAACCGGAAGATAACATCATCAAACGTACAAACAAATGAAACACTGAACCGCTAATTAACCGTTTTTAAAATGTTAGTTTTGCATTTTTTACTGTCTACTCTCTGTTTCACTCTGCGGTCTACGGGTACATCGAAAAGATGTCACTCTCCCTTCGCCTGGCCGATTTTTGCCTGTGGTGAACGTGGAAAAGTTTAATGCGAATGGCAGAGAAGAAGGCCGTCCAGAGAGCGGTCCTTGGTTTGCCCCAGAGGCCGCCGCGAGCTCCACCACCTCCACCAGCAGCTTTTTTGTTTCGATTCTTCAGCGCGGCTGCAGCGGCAGCATTTGCACCAGCGCCATTAGCACGAGCAAGGTTTCCGCCTCGGTCGGCAAAGTCGGGGTTGCTTAGAAAAACAAAAAAAATTAAAACTTTGACTTCATTAACTTTTTCTTTTTACCCCGTCTTATTGTTGATTGCACTGAAGGCGTCCACCACGTCAAGAAAACGGCGCTTCTCCGAGCGACTAAAGTTGAGATCGTCAATCATGTCATCGGCGGCGAGGAACATGTCAACGCCGCCGATGAAGATGTCTTCGGCGTCGTACTCGATGATCAGGTCGCGTACCGCCTGCTTGTCCAGGAACTTCTCGATGCCCTTGTGGATGAAGACGTTCAGCTCGTAGACCTTGCTGCTGATGCCGTCCTTCTTGTGGCGGGCAGTGCGCCAGTAGTCGGTGGGCGAGGGCGAGCGGTTGAGGCGGTGGTGGGAGAGGGCGTTCGAG